TAAAACACAATTTTTCCTTTAAAAGACAAGTACTTTAGAGAAAACACATTCTTAACAGGTACTGATGGTCTCAAAACTCTTTGGACTGTATGGACTATACTTATTAGTATCTATCATATTTTAAATGAAAGCTGATACATTCTTTCAATATTTATTTGTGTGAATAATAAGCCATTCTATATATACATTAATAATACATTTTTATGAAAAATAACTACATTTTGCAAAGCAAAAATTTCACATTTTCTAAAATTTCCTTTAATTTCTGGATTACTGGAAGCAGGATTAATGGATTTTCATATTTACCTCTGCATTCAGTCTGTTAAGATATCATATATCTGGTACTCCTGGAAATCTCTATTATATGCACATGAATATTAGAAAGGCAATTAACATCTTAGTGTGAAAATAGCTTTGAGTCCCACAGTAGTTGCCGGACCATACTTTGAGACCTGCAGGGCTAGAGATTAAAGTGTAAGAAAAGTAAGAGTAACACAGAGGACTGGAAAGTTGAGGAAGACTAACGTCTGTACTCCACGCTAGAGAAGAATAGAAATTCCACATTGGTAGAAATAGAGGCAATTTCCCAAACTTTAAAGCCACATCAAATACACAGTGCTGAAAGTACCTCGCAGGTGGAAATCACATTTATTCCTATATGAAGTATCACTTCATCTTTTATAACCTGCTTTAGGGCCATATCAGTAGGACTAAAACATCATGATGAATAATAAGCAAACAATTGCTCACTCAAGGTTACTTCCCTACTGGAGTTCTGAACAATTTATTTCAGAATGTCTAAAGGGAAGAAGAGATAACTTATTTGAAAATAAAAAGGTGTCCAATCTAGACCCAAAATTTGAGATTTGATCCCTGGCCAAACAGCAAAGAATCTAATATTCTTAAGATTGATTTCAGTGGGAGAAATTGCATGTCAATAAGAGCATCCCTCACTTTTAGCTTTTGAAAGATGCCTCCAACCTGGTGAGCGTAGTCACCAGGCACAATCCAGAGGTAGAACATGGAGCTCTGAACTTGAAATCAAATGTTTTGTTCCAGAAAATAAAGTCAGAGGAATTTCAACAAGTGTGCCAGTAGAGGGAACTGTTATTCAACAAATAATAAGAAGACCAGGCTTTTCCTGGGCGGTAGGCACAGCCCATGGAGAATCAAGTAGGCCATCATGTAGCCTTGGGGTGGATCGGCACAAAGGACTTTCCATTGCTTTTTCTTGAAAATCCATCTTGCTCACACTTAGGAAGTCGCTCTTCTCATGGGCAAAAGAAGACATTGGTTTCATCTGTAATTTAAGATGGAAGAAAAATATGAGATCTGTGAAGAATCACAAATGCCATGTGATAACTGGCCGTTTGACTAGCTGTGATTCTCTGCTGTTTTCAATTATCTGAAATTATCTAGAGAACCTTATACTCTTTGAAGTACTGAGCTTCTGAACCCATGGACAAAGACAGGCTACTTCAGGATCTCTCAAAGTTTTTTGAAAACGCAACTTGTATAGTTCCATCCAAATGACTTCATTTAAATCTATGATGGAGGCTGGAGATTATGCAGAGATTTGCATTTTAAATAAGTTCTCCCAAGTGGTTTTTATGAATGATAAAGGGCAAGAGCCATTTTTTTTTTCTCATGTCTTTAGGGGACTGAGATAGAAAGTAGTAGCACCTAAGAATAAACACTGATTGGATAAAGCTGGTAGGAAAGTGATGCTGCCTATAGCCAGCACTGTACCCCCTTAGACCTTTCTCCACTGATGCCTGAGTCATTCTCCAAGGAGAGAGACTGCAGGAGGAAAGATTAAGGGGACAGAGGCGTCAAGAGTGCAGCAGTTCACATGGCCATCAGTCTAGTTTCTAAATGGCCTCAGGAAGGTCTGTAATGGGCAGTCATCTGTGTTTGTGGCCACAATCTTGTAGGTCTGCTGGCGTCAGGCCCTTGTCACAGTGAGCAGCTGTGCGACACACAGAGATCTTCAAGGAGTTGAGTCTTGTGTAACGCAGTGATTAACTGATGTGACATTTCCACGTGGCTTCTTGATTTTTATACTTTAATTACTGTTTAGTAGTAGTTTGTGGTAAATCAGTTATGGCTTATCATACATATCCTTTTTAGCATTTTAGCATTTTATTTTTAGGGCAAGTCAAGTCAAGTAAGTCAATAGAACTGATATTTTGCCTTCAAAAGAGCTGAAGTAGTGCTGGGAGTGGTGGTGCATACCTGTAATCCCAGCACTCGGGAGGCTGAGGCAGGAGGATCTTTGCAAGTTCGAGACCAACCTGGGCTACAAAGTGAGCTCAAGGCTAGCCTGAACTGCATAGCAAAACCCTATCTCAAAAAGAACAACAACAACAACAACAAAAGAGCTGAAGTGAAGATTTGCTTGGAAGAGAAAAAAAACTAAAAGACAGGAAAACATGTGTTGGAGGGCAGCATAAAATAAGAAGTCACAGTCACTCCTATGGAGTACTTCAAGAAAGCATGAGAAAGGGAGAGAGACAGAGACAGAGACAAAGAGAGACAGAGAAAGAGAGACGAGACAGGGTAGTTTTTGAACCAAACAAAACACAATATGTGAGAGAATATATTGAAGCCACTTTTTAATGAGCCAGATGTTCAACAACCATAGTAAGTATGACTCTTCTCTTAGGGAAAGGATGAATTTATTTGATATTCTTAAAAATGTATCTTTAACATTTCTGATTCTAGGATATTCTGTCCTTATGGTTCATCTCTAAATTTAATACAATGCTGAAAGACATGCAGTGAGAATCCCCTAAGAGATGAAATTGTTAACTGTCTTTGATACTCTTCCAACTATCTTCACCGTAATGATGGTGAGCATTATAAGGAACGGAGTACTTCCTGGTACTAAATTCTCAGCCTGTTCAATCAGTTTTGATCTGAAGTCAACAAATATGATTTTATCTCAGCAATATAAGAGAAGATAAGTGCCATTTTCCAACAGTGAAAGAAGAAACATACCTACACTTACACTATCCCTGAAAGAATGGCATGAGTGAAATGTCCAGGGGAAATATTTAACCTCATTAAGATGAGTACGGTGCTTTAGAATTTTCAAAGCTTACATTCGCATTCAATTAGTACATCTATTCTGAATGAGTCACAACTACCCTTAGTGTGTAAACTCAGCAAAATATCCCCTTAGTAATGCTGGTAGTGGGTCCATAGTTTGAATTATCATGTTATAAAGTCATATATATATTCAAATGTTCTATAAATCAATTTTTCACTAATTCAAGTGGACTGTATCCAATTAATATCAATAAATGATGTGTTCCTGAATTGGTAGTTTTAAAGCTATTTAATAGCTTTTAACAACTTGGCTGAAATGCTACTATGCTATGAATGACAATGCTTAGATTTTTCTCATGGTAAAGAGTGACATACACGCAGTCCTTATGTCAAAGCATTGTACACACATATTGTAGTAAGTTGGTCTCTATTGAAGTATGTACACTCTATTCCTTTTAAAACCTAAACAAAAGATAAGCATATCCCTGCTGGTCTGATGTATTGTTTTGTATTAATGAAGTCCAGTACTTGCTTACTGGGCTAGGTACTTAAAGGTGTGAGGCTCCTTTTTAGAGGGAGTGCTGTACCTCGTACTTTTCCTGTGCTGAAAGTGAGAGTAAGAAGACTTCCGTCATTACTGGCGCGGCCGCACTGCACATAGACGGTGAACACGTAACAAGCTTGGCTGGTACAGGCGTGTGAGAGCCCGGTGTGCAGAGAACGGTTTGCAAAATAAAGTTCCTCAACACACCGAACTCAGGCGAGGAGTTCATCCAGTCTTTGAAAGAGAGACAGTGATGGTGCAAAATGTGGAGCACCCTTCATAAATTCCCTCAGGAACAGCTGCTGTGATATGTACACCCCCGGCTTACTCTGTTTTTCTGTGGTGGGAAAGGAACCCGGGGCTTCCTGAAGGTGAACAGCGAGCTCTCTGTCACCAGCAGCCCGCTCCTTGCCTTGATTAAATGACAGCACAAGAGCCCTGGTCCCCGCTGTACTCGGACCCTGAGAGCCTCACCAGGTTGCTGTGCTCCCCCCACCACGTGTCTCCCGGAGCTCGGGGTCAGCGCTAAGCTGCATCACTTTGACGCCCGCCGGTGGCTTAACGTCTCCTTTCTCCGGACTCGACTTGCTGCCCCCCAGTCCCACGCATCCCCTTATCCACAGGACTACACTCGGCACCTTCCTCTCTAAATCTGCTCCTGCTCTGCCTCTTTCCGTTTCATCTCGCCCACGCATTTGTTTTTTTTTTTTTTTTTTTTTTTTTTTTTTTTTTTTTT